GGACTGCAAAAGGGCCCTTGATCCGACCTCTCTTACACACACACACACACACACACACACACACACACACACACACACACACACACACACACACCACACACCCACACCACACACACACACACACACACACACACGACACACAACACACACACACTAGGCACCGCCCACCTCGGAAATGCCGTGTACATTGGCTCTCAGATATGATCAGCTATTTGTCGGCTTTCCATTACGTTTTTATCAAGCATATGTTCCAGCAATGTCAGGAAAATAGTGTTTTTTATCGCTCCCTCGTTCTTCGTCCTACGTAATGTTTTCAAAGTCTTGTCATTGGTCGGTCAAAACCCCCAAAGTATATTCAGTTAACATGATACGCAAACGAGTAAAGCACAACATCGACGCCTTTTCTGATGAAATCCGTGATTAAGTGCATTTTAAAATATTTGCATCTTTGATGGACTACGTTGCTTGTGTACTTGTGCAGCTCCATTATAATGTTGGCAGTCCACCAAGGCCCAAAAGGAAAAAACCGCCGCTTAAAGAAAATGCGCACGAAAAATTTAACGGAATCATATCCTTGGATAAAAGAAAATCCAGCTAAAAATGTGCCCTGAATCCTGGCCTCTCACCGATCTGCCAATGTGCTCCTTTGTCTTCCAGTCATATCATCATTCATACACGTATTAATGCATGTTTTGGATGTTTGTCCAGCTCAACAATTAGCCCTTAACCCTTCGCTTACAACTTAGAAAGTGTCACACAGGGATTTGAGTCTTTCAAACCATTAACATGCCACCAACAACCCAATATATCACACTACAGGAATAGGGAAACCCACACAAGCCTTAGGGATACACAAGCATCAAAGCAGCACCAAATAACATTTCAAGTAATTGCAAACCAGGCACGTGACTCATCATGAACAATCAGCGTTCATGAGAATCTCTTCAATGACGGAAAAACATGCTTGGTTAAAATCTGTGAACCCTTCTTGAGCTCCAATAAATACTGAAACCAACGGTTTTACCGCACTGGCCAAGATCAAGATCCAGATCAAGGCCTTTTATGGTATGTGCGCAGCAAGCCTACAGTTGTAGAAACACGTTAACGTAAGTCTCCTTCCAACAGCATCTGGCCACAGGTGAACACAGGACATAGGACAAATGATAGCACACACAAAGAAAAGCCGTTTTGCTCAGAAGCCAAAGCTCCAGTTTGGTTTTCTGCTAGCTCTATGTGCTGCAGAACGTGGTTCTCATGCCGTGTTTCTGCCTCTCTGCTAGTTGAGGGTGTGCTCTGCGCACATGGCTCTGCTCCGAAGATGCCTCCTCCATCTCCCCCGCTCCGAAACACCGATCCTCAGTTTCCACTCCCTCAGGTTACCAGATCACAGCTCCCATATCAACTTTACAGCTGTGTACAGCCCTAAAGGTACATTTCAAAGCTTGTACTTTTACTTGAGGAAGACGTTTAGTCGTACTTCTACTTTCCACAGATATTTTAAAACACGAGTATCTTACTTCTACTTTGAGAAAGGAGTGTGTGACTCTACTGAGAAAAGGATGTGTTACTTGCTAACTTGAAGTAAGGAGGTGTGTACTTATTCTACTGAGAAAAGGATGTCTGCTACTTCTACTTGAGAAGGTGTGTTACTCTATTGAGCTAAAGGATGTGTTGTACTTCTACTTGAGCTAAAGGAGTTTCCGTACTTCTACTTGAAAGTAAGGAATGGTTGTATCTATTGGAGTAAGGATGTGTGTATCTACTTGAGTAAAGGTATGTGTGTACTTCTACTTGAGTAAAGCGATGTGTGTACTTCTATTTTGAGTAAGAGAATTTGTGTACTCTACTTGGAAAGGAGTGTGTGTACTTCTACTTGGGGACAAAGGATGTGTGTACTTCTACTTGAGCAGTAAAGGATGCTGATGTACTTCTATTTGAGTTAAGATGGTTGTGTAACTCTACGTTAGAGTAAAGGATGTGTTATTTCTACTTGATAAAGGTGTGTGTACTTCTACTTGAGTAAGATGTGTGTAACTTCTATTTGGAGTAAGGATTTGTGTACTTTTGCCATCTCGGAGCCTATATCCAAAAAAGTCTTCACTCTCCCCTTAAAGAGGTCTGCTGAATGCTGAGGGATCTACACAGTACCCTTTACCTGTCATTTCCATGCCCTGTGTTGCCCGCTCTTGAACATTTTAGAAAATAATCCCTGGTCCCCGGCTTGACTGCACTCAGGATCCATGTATCTGTGATCCTCCCAGACTGAGAAGTAGTATCAAAACCATACAGAGCAAAGAAATACCGCGTTCTTTGTTACTATACATCCTTCAAACAAATACTGAGCTTTTTTTTCTCAAAATGTTGGCTTTTTTCAAAAATCTCAAAAAATCAAGACTTTTCTCAAAATTCTGACTTTTTTCTAAAAATCTGGATTATTCAAATTCAAAAAATTATGACTTTTTTCTAACTTTTTAAAAAAAAATCCTAAAAATCAATTTTTTTACTCAAAATATCAAAATTCTCACTTTTTCTAAATACTTAAAAATGTTAATAATCACTCGTCACCGGCTTGAGCTTCAATCTCAGGATCCATGTATTTGTGATCCTCTCCAGAATGGAAGTAGTCATCACATACAGAGCATCAACTAGTTCCTGAACAGTGTCCTTCACATGCTGATATCCAAGAGAGGGAGTTACACAGTCACTAGATGGAGGAATAGAAAGCAGTATTCAATGTTTACTTCAGATTAGCTCCACGTCAGAAATGATCATGCTTGTCATATGTCTCTCTCCATAGAGGCTGAATCATCATGTTAATCACATAGCTATCATATGCCTCAAACAGTCCTGATGCTCTTCTAGGTAATCACACATCCTGTCATGTTCACAGCTACAGTTGGGATACCTTTGTTACCATGTGCACTCTTATATTGGTAGAGTACATTCAGTATTTTCCCAACACTGTGTTTCAGGTGGGTCCTGCAGGCAGTCAGTTCGGCATCCTGGCCTGTCCACTTTCTCAAGTGCAGGTGGCCGGGGGATACATTTGAACCTGGCACCCTGGATTGTGTGTTGAATTTGCACGCGTATCCTCCTTTTAAGCATAATGTTCATGTAGTTTAATCGTAAATGTATTTTGTTCAAATTGTACTCTACGGCTGTATTGTGTGTTTGCAGGCTGATCCGTGTCGCGGCGGGGAGTGTACGCCCTCAGAGGGTCCGCTTCACCTTCACCTCTCACACACCGTGGAGAGCCAAGTCAGATCTGCCTTCAGGCGCCAATCCTTCTAAGTTCGCTGCTGTTCGCCCGGAGCATGCTGGTGAGGAGCGACTTCAGAGGCTGGATTTAAATATAGCTTTCCGTAGAAACACGTTAAAAACACTTCAAGACAAGCGCGGACAGGAAGGCTGCTAAACGCTGACTCATTTCCTTTTGTGATTTTCAAGATTCAAGGGGCTTTTAGTTTGAATTATGCTACAGCAGCCTAGCTAGAGTATGATCAGTGAAAAACTTCACCGGTTCTTTGAGTATTACATTTATGCCCACTTTGGTACTTCTCCCCACTTCCTAGTTCAGGAGGTACATGGGTACTTCTACTCCGACTACATGTATGTTAATACCTTTAGTTACTTCACAGATGAGTCATGAATGATGTGAGAATATAATCAAGTGTTGAATCAGGTTATTGCCACCTGGTAGTTAGAAGGTCACCAGCCTAGCCCTGCCAGTATACAAAGTGCATTCGAAACTAGCTGCACCGTTTACCAGCTTTGAAACACGTTCATGATCAAGGTCATTATAAAAGCATCAGTACTCTATGTATTCTGAAGATGGACCAATCTGCACAATGACGTACTTTACTGTCTCTTACTTCAGCGGGTATATTTTGGATGAGAATACCGTTGTTGCTACTTTTACTTGAGCGGAACAATTTTGTGAATGTAAGGACTTTTACTGTAGTTAGCAGTATTTCCTACATCTCTGGGGACTTCTACTTTACTCAAAGGTACAAGATCTGGAGTACTTCTACTTTACTCAAGTACAAGATTCGAGTACTTTCCTACTTGTTTACTCAAGTACAAGGTAAAGGATCTGGGAAGGTAGTTCTACTTAGTACTCAGAGGCCAAGATCTGATCTACTTCTGACTTTTACTCAAGTACAAAGGATCTGAGTACTTCTACTTTTACTCAAGTACAAACGATCTCGTTACTTTCGTAGCTTTTTACTCAAAGTACAAGACCGGAGTAGCTTCTACTGTTTACTCAGAGAACAAGATCTGGAGTACTTCTACTGTCTACTCAGAGTACAAGATCTGAGTACTTCTAATGTGTGTACTCAAGTTACAAGACCTGAGCTACTTCTACTTTTTACTCAAGGAACAAGATCTGAGTACTTCTAACCTTTTAGCTCAAGAACAAGATCTGAGCTACTTCTACTTTTTTACTCAAGCTACAAGACCTGAGTACTTCTACTTTACTCAAGAACATGATCTGAGTACTTCTACTTTTACTCAAGCAACAAGATCTGAGTACTTTCTACTTTTATCAAGTACAAGAGGAGTACTTCTACTTACTCAAGAACAATATCTGAGTACTTCTACTTTACTCAAGAACAAGATCTGGGGAGTACTTCGTACTTTTACTCGGAAAGAAGCATA